GTCAAAGCTTTTCACTGAGCATTCCCACCTCATTACATATTAAACACCTTCAGAGGGCACTTTCATCCCAGTGGCAGAATCATGCTTTGAAAGCTGTTTTAAATGGAAATGGACCTTATTTAAACTGTGTTTAGCTACATGTCTCTAGTCAAAAGTCTACATATCATCTCATTAAAGAGACAAAAATGCCCACCATATTATGTCAGCGTGCACCAGCAGACAGGAAAAATAATATTAACCAGTAATATCATGTTTCTGAAATGTTCCCTCAGAGCCAAAAAAGGGATAGTATAATCAAAATCCTTCAATGTGCACATTCAGCTCCTGTCTCAAATAACATACACTGACCAGTATCTGTGATAGGTTTGTTTTTAATACATGCACTTCCTCAAAAGGCTCTGCTTTCAGCTTTTTAAATTTTCAGCCATTGGCAGTGAAGCTACTGCAACATATCCATCTAAAAGAAAGCTTGTGTCTATGCATTATGAAAGTCAGTGTGCTTGGCAATTTCAGTAAACATGAGCAAGAAATGTACTGACAGAATGTCCTTATGTATTTACCAACTGGAACCTTCACTGGGATTATGGGATAAATTTGATTTTTTAAAAGTGGAAAAAATTGAATGCAAGATACCACAATAAGTTTGTATAATTTACTCATAGCGTTGAGCTCCAAAAGCGTTTAATAAAAAAAATGCATAACTGGTTTTATCATTCTTCCTCTTATTATTATTAGTAGTAGGAGTAGTAGTAGGAGGAGTAGTAGTAGTAGTAGTAGTAGTAGTAGTAGTAGTGGTAGTAGTAGAAGTGATAGTATTACTATTTTTATTAACTGCTTTTATGTAGAATTAAGATTAAAAAATGAAACATTTGGATTCACTGCAATGTTCTAACATCTAGTGTAAAGCCCTCCCAGAAGAGTAGAGGCTGTTGCTGTAGCAAAGAGGGACAAACTCTCCATTAATGCCCTCAATTTCAAAAGAAACATTAGATGAACAGGTGGCTACAGACACGTAATGTAGATTGGTTGTGAGGCTCTGGCACTTTCTGCTGAGACCTTTATCCCCATACCCCCCAAAGCCCCATCACTGTCCACCTGAGGGCTGTGCTCACTGTGACTCCTCATGCAGCTCTAATTAGCTGTAGAGAATTCTACATTGCCATGATACTGTCACTTTTGGAGAGTACTTGTACCCATCCATACAGACTCCATACTCTCCAGGCTGGTTCAGAAACCCTTATACCTCTGCAGTGGATATGTTCCTTAATGGGCCCAGATTTGATAGTTTTTCTGTATTCATAATTCATTTTTACATGACCCTTTTCCAACCTCACTTTATTAATTAGAATTCAACAGGCTGTTTTCGTTACTGTGCCTTTAAGACTGAAACATGTAAATGACCTCTGTTCTGAGTGTTTGCCCCGTGTTATGCCTTTTTCAAAAAGGTCTTTGTGACATCACAAAAGGAGTGAATTCAAAACTGGCCATGTTTGTAGCTTACTTGCAGCTTACTATGCTAATTAGTCTTTGTGACATCACAAAAGAAGTGAATTCAAAACTGCTATTTTTCAACTTACTTTAGTTAACTGGTGAAAAAAAACAGTCAAGTTTTAAAATGGACAGTGTTTACATAATGCATCAAACTCTTTTATTCCCAGAAATGAGGAACACTGGGTTTTCCAATAAATGGGCCCTTTAAATATAGTCTTGCTTATTTTCACTGGAAGAGAAAGATTAAGGAACACTCAATGTTTGTTGAAAATCTCAGATATTAGAGTGGGTTTCCTACGAAGCACTGAATCTACTCAATAAAATCATAAAACACAGACACATTTCATCAGCACTTTTATTCCAAATGAATCAGCTTTAAGAAAGGTAAAGTTTAGCAACAAGAAGAAAAATGGCTGCATCAAACAAAATAGCTTTAGATGTTGCGCGTTACAGTAGTACTGATAGAATTCTGTCTTAATGAAACCGAATTCAGTGACAGGTGGCTTTGTGACTGTGGATCATTAAATGAAACTCAACTGTTTTGTTCTTACCATGTGTATAAAAGATGATTACCGATCATTTAAAAAAGAATTTATTTAATTCAGCACATCAGAGAAGAAAAATCTATAGAGGGTGCTCAAATTCAAGATGCAATATAGTTCCACAGCACTTTGTTTGGCCTTACTGACTGCCGTCCATGTTAATATTTAAGATCAACCTTGACAGCAGTATCAGAGTAAAAATACAGGCATTTGGAAAAAATGTGGAATCGTTCGCACAGCTACCCTTCTTCATCTGGAAATTTCTGATTCACTGTTATCTGCTTTGTTACAATGACCTGGCGAGCGTCTTTGGCATAGCTCTAAAATAACGTTACTATTGCTGTTGAGAAAAGAAATACACATTCACTCAGTATTTCAATGGGCTTGTGAAGTTGGGATGTTTTTAATTGCACAAGTGGTTGTGTCTCAAGTATATCAGAGATGCGCCAATCCTGAGCATAAAAAAACTTAAGTGCAACACCTACATTTATATATTCACAACTGTATCCAGTTTTGCTGTGATACCTGCAGACGGGCCTTATAAGTAGCAAAAGAGAGCTGAGGGGATACACCATCAATTTTACAAAATGTCACTGTTTTCAGACACTTTAAGTAAATAAATCCATGTAATTAAGGTGTTTGAGGTACATAGCTGCAATTCTGAGGTATTTCCAGCAGCCTGTGGCTGCTCGGCATCGCAGTTGTCGTGTAATGTAGAGCACAGAATCAGGAACAGTCCAAAGCCTAACCATTATTAACATTCAAGCCCTCCGTAGCAAAGCTTTCTCTCCCACAGTCTCCAGTTAAGGTAATACACAGATAGAAACCTCTTGTCTGAGTACATTAAACATTTAAATCACTGGGTCACAGCTGGACTAGAATAAGTATGCTATATTAATTACAGTGACACAGCCTGCTACTCCTGGGAGCACAAATCTGACAAAGTCAGTCTAGAGCCAAATTAGACATTCTCCTATTTACATATTACAGCTAAAAGTCTGGAGGAATAGCTACAACAGCTAAGCAATACGGCTTACAGGAATAGTCACAAAGTATAAGAAAAGCTTTGGGTAGTCATACTATTGTTCCTATGAACATAAAACAGCAAAAATTAAAATTTACACAATTTTCTTCTCACCCCAGATCAGCCAAGACATGTTTGGTGTCCAAATTTTTCTGCGTTAGTTTAGTGCTGTAGCTTAAGCGCTGTAGGCTAACATTGCTAACAAACAGTAGAAGCCAACAGACTCGCACAACTTTTCCATAAACACCTCCCAAAAAACCTTTCTCAACCTGCTCAAACTGCATCCAGGTCTTCATTAAAGTTGTTAATGAATTGTTAATGTTGTCTTAAGACACAGTATGACTTGCTGCTGTCTAAATCCCCTGGTCTAAAATGGCTACCTACCCACATTAGCTACACTGTGAAGTTTTGATTTGTTCATTTTCACAGTCCTCAGTAAGTTATACTATGTCCTAAACCACATTTACAAATTATTTATGAACTTAATAAAGACCTGGATGCAGTTTAAGCAGGTTGAGAGCAATCTGGATGATAAATTCATGGAAAACTTCCAGTGTTTTTTAGTGGCATTAGCCTCGTAGCTCCAGGTTTAAGCTAAAGAAGCAAAATTTGGACACCTAAAGTCTTGGCTGAACAACTACATCTGAAGTAAGTGGAAGACTGTGTAAAATTGACTGTGTAAATTTTGATCTTTTTAAGTAAACGTGATGTAGTAATGCATGACTATGTAGGTACAGCAGTATTTTGGCTGTAGCTATTATCCTATCTACACTGTGTATGTAGGGATCAATTAAGATGTTCTGGTTCCTGTAATCCCATTTGCTTCTGGACAGCTGGGATAATGTCAGTATCTGACATATATTTGGGCAATTAGGTTCAATTTTCTCTGATGCTATCTAGTCATAATAAAGTCAGCTCATTGGACAAACCAATTATTCTGATTCAGCCAATGTTACAAATTCACATGTGCGAAGTATAGCGACTATTGGCATCTTTGCAGCAACTGGATTGGATTGTTAACGCCTGCATCAAAAAAGTGAGTCAGCACATCTACTACATAGACTACCAAAATGCCAGGACAGCCATGAGAATGTATTGTGCTTTGTTACAATTTCAAATGCCAACAAGATTTTCCACAAGACACCATGATGCCCCAGAGCCAGACAATGTGATTACGCTGTTTTTTTTCCAGAGCGTTGTAAAAGTCAATCATTTTAAAAGCACTAAAATGTTTTAGTCACTCTACAAAAAAGCACTTTACAATAAAATGTACAAAAAAATAACACTGGTTGTAATCAAGTCTGAATGACAGAACAGATTCAATCATACCCATAGATTTGTGCAAACATGTTATTTAGCAACAAACTGTAAAACAAGACATTTAGATACTGGCAACACATACCCTTTGGTCTGTTGCAATGCCACACTGTACACCAGTACGTCCTGATGCCTGTTTGCTTCAGGCCCATATGCAATATTGCATAGTTCTCTAAAGACAAAATTCAATTCAGATCTGACTTGAAGGCCTCTGTGCCACTTCTCTCACTTTCACTCACCTTAGCTTTGAGCGCAGGCAACCTGGAGGTGAAATTTCAATAATGGAAAACAGAAGCAGTGTCTTTGAGACTGGCATGCAGATTGCATGTGTCATTTGAAAGTACACTAAGGCAGCTTTTGAGTCTTTTTCCCCAAGAGACCAACATTTTAGGAACATTTCTCTACTGGTAGATTGTCTGTTCAGTTCTTTAGGTTTTTAAAAGACAGCTTGCCAGTGTGATTCTCATTTTACAGCATTCTATAGTGCAAATCTGAGATTATTATCCATTTCATCTGAGCTATCTTTAGCCTCCTTACTGCATGAAGTCTCAGCTCTAATGGCAGCTCTGTCGCTTCCTCCTTCCAAACCTGCAGCAACACTGGCACCAGATTTCATCAGCATTTAGTACAATATAATTACACATGGCTTTTTTTTTAGAGTTTGAGTCCACCTACACTTGAGGAAAGCTTGTGGAGAACATGTAATGACGTCAACCAGCAAATGTAAAAGTCCAAATCAGCCGTTCTCATCTTTTTTGAGCCTTTTATCCACAGCCATTGTGATAAGGATGTCATTGTTAGTAGACCTGTATATAATACAGCATTTTTGCTGAGCATCATTGGGAAAACAGGAGCGAAGCAGCAAAGGCTCTCACAGCCTCACAGAGTCCAGAGAGTTGGGGATGTGCAGCCTTGCTGGACCAGAGCTGTTCCAGTGTATTATGAAGTAGAAAAGGAAAACATTCACATTCGCATGAGAGAGGCTGGTGATGACAGTGGTTTTCTCAGTATGTCCATCTGTCTCATCTGCCTTATGTAACACTCCCCTTTGTGAAGTGCTCAGAGTTAGAACCAGCACTACTTTATACCCTGGCCTATCATTCTTATGGTGAAAGCTAATATAGCAATATAAGCAGAGCCCAGCAGTCGACTGCTGTCTGACTAATGCTGATGTTATGGAGCAGCAAATATATGAAAAATCAGCTCCAAACCTCTGACCCTGAACTGAGTGAGACAAACCAGGACTTGCATTTACTAAAGCAAATAGCATGTTCAGTATGGTTAGTATATGCAATTTTAGTAAAATTATAACTGGGTTATGGCAAGTATCACTGGTGTTTTCTGGCTTGTTTGCACATGCTATTAACTGTAGTAAATCAGGTCTTAAACCCGCTTGTACAATTCTGACATACATACATGGTAATGCATGTTATTCAGTTTCACAATGTTCAGTCAACTGAGTCCACTGAGGAAATGAGGAAGATCTGTACACACAGTGGGACACTGATCCACTGGAGTGAAGAGTAACAAAAGTATGTTTGCTGCATCACAAACATTTCTGCCTATAAAAAGCACTGAGGAATTCCTGTGGGCTATGGGTATGCTGACCTAAACTGATGTTTCTGGATGAGTTTACCAAAACTATTGTACCATACAGATGGAACAGGGTAGCAAACATCACTTTAAATGCTTTCCATAATGGTTCAGATGTGCAGCCACAAAGAACTGCTCACACACACGTCATGCACTGATGTACATCATTTTCATGTCTGTTCACTTAAAGGAGGAAAGCCAGAACAAAAGACAGACACAAGACAATGCAAGATGCCACACATTCATTCAATGAAATTCAGGTATCATTTAAAACCCACTGAGTTCTTGTGATATTAATTTGTTGTGAAATTGTGTCTCAATCTCACTAAAAAAGCACATATCCTACATTTTCTTGTTCCACCCACACCCCCACCCCCCCGGTGCGCTTATGACTTTGTGTGGTTTTATTTACCAAAAACAGTCCTAATTAGTTTTTACATGACCATTTTCCCACCACTCTTTATCCCTTAGAACAAAAAAAAAGCTCTTTTCGTAAGACTGATGTATGTAAATGAGCTCTATTCTTACTGGTTGCTCTGTACTGGGCAAAAAAGGAATGTAGTATGTGGCATCTTGCTTTGTTGGAATATCTGTCATTTGTTGCGATTCCGTTAACAGATAGAAGAAACAGGTCAAAAACAGTTGGTGGACATCAGTGTACAACATACATGCATGTTAGCAATTCTTTTTGACTGCCAGAGTACTTTACAAAGCTTTTGACAAATTGGGCCCATTTTGAGTAAATGGGTGTGCCTGGCAAATCGCTGTCTAAATCAAAATTGATCACAATATCAGTCAAATGAATCGCAATCATTCATTACAATTGTGCAGCCCTTCTGGGAAGTCCTTTTAGCGACATTGCACCTTATCCATCCCTCACGTCCTCACATCATGCTTTTCCTATAGTTAGTTTGCTGCTGGTTCTTCAGCTTGCTGCTGGGTGAGGAGCTGAGCGCTGTGGGTGAGGCTGAGTCCAGCTGCCTGTAAAGCACTCTCAGCTCCTTCACCTCCTCAAGGACATCCCGTGCCTGGCCCCAAGTGGACGCTGCCTCCTCCAGCAGCCGCTCAGCCTCGGCCCGCTGTCCCTCCGCACTGGAACCCTTGCCAGGGGTGGAGTCTTTCCCTTTTCCCTGACTGGGCCCTCTCACTTCAGTCAGCAGCTCCTGAGTTCTCTCCAGCTTCTGGGAGATGAGCTCCTGCAGATGCCCAATGGGGTGAGTGGGAGCAGACACGGAGCAGTGGGGAATGGGCCTCTTGGTGGCCCGTGTCTCTGAGTGTGACAGGATTTCGTCCATGGAGGCGCAGCGGTTCTTCTCAGCCCCTGTGAGCTTTTTTCCGGCCTTGGGTGTTTGGCTTTGGTTGTCTGACACTGACCAGTCCCAGGCGCTCTCACTTTTTCGTGGCAGGCTCTGAGACTTGCCAGGGGCCTCAGCGCCAGGCAAGAGTTTGCAGCTGTCCACGCACGACTTTGGAGTGAGATGGAAGTTCTTTTCACAGGCGTTCTTTCCTTCAGGTGCTGGCGCATCTTCCTCCTGTATGAGATCAAGAGTCAGCATGCCGTCTGACGAGGATGTTGAGGCCTGAAAAGGACAGGAAGGTTTTAAATAGAACGGCTGTAATGATAATGTGGTAAATTTGGAATAATATTGTATAAAATGTATACAATTTTGCCAAGTCTGCGTCTTTATTTTTAAACTGTAGCTACGATGCTAATGGAGCTAACAATTTATAGAAGCAGTACTCTCTATAATAACACTGTGCAAACTGCTTGCCTGAATCATTACACGCTTGCCTGAAACTGTGTGACTCAATGTGAGTGGCATTCTGCTACCTATAAAAATGACCAAAAGTATATTGCATAACTAAGAACAGTACTAGGCACAAATAGCCTTAAATAAATTTTGTACATTTGACCATGCTTTCTAATGCTTTCTTGTCGTAGCTGCCGTTTTAATCCGCCAGCAGGATCTCGCTTTTCTGATTGATAGTATTTCCTTTGTCCTCTTGCTATTCGTTCTCCTACTCTACTGTGAAGAGCATGCAAAGTTCTAGCACCAAGACCAAATAAACAGTTTTGAAACTCTTCAAAAGCATCATTCAATTTTAGAAGTGTTTAATATGAATATGCACTCTAAGAGACTAAATACGGCAAGTAGCAGTGAAAAAAACTTTCTTTCCAACATGCGGTGACATCTGCCTGGAAAATCTCAGAGATGTGTATCTGGACAGGACTAAAATTATCAGCTCACTACTGATGAAAAACAGTAGCTAATTTGGCCTATAACTGTCTCAAGGGACAAGACGAAATAGACTGACAGCCAATCTGGATGGAAATAAATCACAGAGTGGAACCTGTAAAAGAGGAAATTACCCCAGGACCCCATGTAAATTTAATCTCATCTGCATCAGTCTATATTCAAAGCTGCAGCTCCAGTGGCGACAAAAATGTACAGCTCACCACAGCCATAAGGTGTCCACGGGTGGGCAGTCGGCGAGTGTGTGGAATCTTAGCTCGGTCACGTGTGGGATGGGCCAGGCAGCTCTCCTCCTCTACCGTAACCTAGAGAGATACCCACAGAGCCATGTGTGAGGATTAGATGAGATGAGTCACATGATGAGAGTAAGTAGTAACAAGCTTCTACACTAGTCTGCGGTGTCATGTACTGTGTGCGTGTGTGTGTGTGTGTGTGTGTGTGTGTGCGTGTGCGCTGATAAACCAATCAATGAGATGATTTACTGTGCGCACGTGATTTACACATGGGAGCGCAGGGTCTCTGGGTTCAGAGAAAGTGCTGCAACATGCAGATGAAAAGGAAATCAGAGTGCTAAAGTAATGAACTAAATGATCTGCCTAACTTGAGTCAAGCAAATACTGTATGAGCCACTCCCAACAGTTTTCAGTTCATAATTTAAAAAAGCTGAAACATTTATTCTCTAATAGTCTCTAATTGTAATTGGTAATGTTGGGTGAATGTATACATAACTATTAAATCATCTACACCTAAAATACAAAAATATATTACTAATATAACCAAATTATGTTATGTATCACTGTATTTCAGATGAAATGCATATATTTGAAATTCAAATGCCATTCCCTAGTAATTAGCTCATACAAAATGAAGTACAACAAAATAGTCTATTTATATTTTGATATATACTGACATATTGTGTATATAGTATGTCGCACTTTCAAAGACTCATATCATATTTTTTCAATAAAGAGTGTGATGCAGTATGTGAACATAAGTTTCAAAGCATAACATTCACTCCTCAGTGCATACAGTCCTATACGTGAAAACAGCCTGTTTGGAATTCACTGTTTCAACACATTTGCATATATCCGCCTATTCGGCCTATGGCAGTTCAGCTCTGCCTCTTCACACTGACGTTATAAAGAGTGTTTCAGTCTCGTCTGCTTATTTGCATGAGGCACAGCCAATCAGAACATAGCTCATTTACATAAATCAGTCTCAAAGGTGCAGAAGAGATAAAGAGATTTTGAAACTGTAGTGAGTGATACAACAGAAGACAGACGACTTTCAGCACTCAGCAGCTCCGCCCTATGAGTTTGTGTGGTCTACCGCTTTGTAACTGAGCTGTTGTTGCTGCTAGACGCTTCCATTTCACAACAGCAGCACTTACAGTTGACCAGAGCAGATCTAGCAGGGCAGAAATGTCATAAACTGACTTGTGGCAAAGGTGGCATCCTATGACAGTGCCGCATTTAAAGGCACTGAGCTCTTCAACATGAGCCATTCTACTGCAAAAAATATATATCACATTTTACAATTGTGTAAGCGGATTAGCACCCAATGTAAAGTGGATTCAAGCGAGTGAAAGCACACTGGGGTAGTGTAAAATGCCTTAGAATAAAGCTTTTCATGACTATAATCAATATGCATATTAGTAGGGGTGTTACAACGAGCCTCGACAGCAATCGGTCTAGTGTAAACGCAGTCATGCATGAAGCTCCAGTATCTGATTTCAACCCCTAGACTGCATTTGGACACTGGAGCAGGAACAATCTGTTCACAGTGGACCTGGTTTTGTGTGCTCACACAATTCTTTCTCTATCCTTTCCTCTCCCGCTGAGCTGTAGAGAAGTGCAAGTTGCGTCTCTGTGCTAGTGGAGAGTTTTCAGGGACTAGACATAGAGATGAATCACTCCAGTCAGATGATCCACTTCATTCGGTGCACAAGGACAGATTCATACTATACATATCCTCTCAGATTCTCTCAACTCAAGCTCTCTTACTGTAAGAGCACTGTGCTACAGTCATTGCTGCTGTCCTTCAGGCATGTTTGTCTTGCTTTTTCAATGCTTCAGTACTGTACGCATTGGTGCTTCTGCTGGAATTAAAGATTGGACAGTTTATAGGAGAAGAGAATGTGTCTCTACAATGACACTCTGAATTATACATTGACGCTGTATGAGTAAGAGCCAGTCACGTCTGACAGGTTGCAAAGAATAATCGCAGCCCTTATCACACAATGCAAATAGATTTGCTTTAAAAAAAAACCCTGATATGAATAGGGCACAGGTGTGTGGTTAGCACACTCTGTGGGTCGGACTGCTTGAAAAGACACCAGCACTGGCAGGAACAGACCGATGTGTGTGTGTGTGTGTGTGTGTGTGTGTGTGTGTGTGTGTGTGTGTGTGTGTGTGTGTGCGCAAGCGCATGCTGAATTCACCTCGTCCAGGATGCGGTTCTTGGACCTGGTGATGGCTATGTTTAAGGCATTGATCCATGACTCTTTCTCCTCGGGACTGACAGCCAGGAAGACCAGATTTGGAACCTAGAAGACATGAGTTAATTACTGTTAAAACCATATTATTGTTAAAGCTATACTTTATCATAGGACCTTACTGTTAGGACAAGTACACGCTTTGCAGTGCCAGATGACCTCAATTTTTGGAAAGCATCCATATCTTTCATGTCACACACAGAGAGGCCCCACAATAAATTATTTGTTCATTGCTACTGCATGAGCTCTAAACAACAGCTCTAAACAGTCATACTGTTTTTTATGTCCATATGTGTTATTTTGTCCATATTATGCAGCCACAGAAAATGTCCTCGGTGCTATTTGAACCCATACTATAGATGCAGTGCGCCAAGAGAGCATAGCTAGATAGTTTTGACTATCTAGCGAGCACCCACCATACCATGGAACAAAACTCCAAATGTTCTAAATGTAAAAGTGCTCAGACAGTTCACACTGACCAATCACAGTTTCAGCTGAATTAAGGTATTCAAGCAGTCCAATCACATATGCTTCAACCTCCCAGCTTGGTACCATGTGATGGGAAGACCTAGCGAGCAGATTTGATACACTAAACAGCAATTTGATTAGGTGAATCAATTAGAATTATTATAATTAATTAAAAGTATTTATAATAACCCGAAAGTACTTCCTTTAATATTCCTCATGCAAAAACGTCATCAATCAAATTACTTCTGTAAAGTTTATTGCAACAAAGGTCATTCCAAAGGAACATGCTCTAAATAGGCTAAATTGCTTAGGCACAGACTATACTTACAATATAAATGAGGAATGTGTCTGTAAAACGAAAATCAAAGAAAATCTACTTTTTTTTTTCAAAATATCTGATTTAATAAATATGGCCACACAGCAGTTATTTCAGAGCAAACATTTGTGATGTCTACACTGGTCAGTCAGCAGTTCTCTACCTAGGAGTCAGGAGATCTCCTATTCTACGGCTTTGCATATGGAGAGTGGACGCTATTTAGCCACAGTGCTCAGGCCAGCTGTTTTGCTAGTTCAGTACGGCCTGCACAAAGTTATTTATTTTTCCAAATAAAGAGCTTCATTTGCTCTTTGCAGCATCTCTTGTTTCATTCGTCACATCATCCCTACAGTGCCACGCTATCTAAGCAAAAACAGAGTAACTGGCAGGTGACTTAAGGCGTGAGCACATCGAGTTAAAGCAAGAAAGTCTCTGAATGGTGCAGCTAAACAGCAGCACTTTGAGCTATCTGCTCTACATTTGTTCTGTGTTTTGGCATAATGTGATTATTAGCTAACTACACCAATAAAAAGCATTCACACACAAAGCATTGGGTTATCAAAGTCTGATTAAAATTAAACTAAAACCAAAACAGCTGTTGGTTAGTTTATTTATGATCAGCAGTGGTTTTCCCTCAGTAATTCACATCTATGGTCAGCTTGTGAATGCTGCCTAATGCACTAATTCACTATGGGGCTGAAGTCTGAGGAAAATCTCACCTGTAAATATCACATGTATTTCTTTAAACAAGTTTGCTTTGGTAATAAATCCCAGTTTGTTTGATTTGTAGCATTTACAAAATAATTTATTGAACAATGCAAATGATAGTATTATTTTTATTTTTTTATTGTTTTTCTCTTGTTATAATGCAACTTAATATGGTAAAATCACAAACACTGCAGCAAGAAAACAAATCAATCACTACATCACTTTTAATTATGTCACATTTAATACTGCAAGGTGTATTACAACTACAATATGCACTAATATAATCCCAACACCAGTATTTTGTCTATATTTCTGAGCCCTAGAAAATGTCCTTGGTGGTCTTTGAACCCACACTATAGTTGCAGTGGGCCAAGAAAAAAATCAAGCAGGTACAGCTACATAGTTCTGACTCTAACTGCAGAGGCAGCAAAACAGGAGCGAGCACCCACCATACCATGGAACAAAACTCCAGAAGTTCTAAATGTAAATGTGCTGAGACAGCAGCGGTCTGCACTATTACCACCACTGCAGCTGTGTAGATCACAGTGCTGTCAGCTTCCAAAACATAGGCTCTGTAGTTCAACAACATATGTATTTTATTGCTCTCTGACAAGATGTTCAGCATCACCGAATGGCCTGTCATGAGTGCACTCATTTGATTCAATAGTCCTTCATACAGCCAAACGATAATGTGTCCTTGTCTTATTAGCGCAACATATTGTGGACATTAACAGTATTGGTCATTTCACATGGAGCCTTCAGAGCCTGCACTGCAGCTGGAGTTACAGGCTCTCTTTGAGGAGCAGCTGTTGGAGCAGTGGGAGTTATTATCCACGTGGTGGCGTGTGCCGCTGACGGATTCCCCTCCTGTACTCCAAGCCTGAGGATTAACCACCTGCCTCAGCACTGGAGCTGAAGCAGATTGGTCAGCCTTAGTGCTTTCCTAGCCTTCAAAAATGCTGAAAATGTACCCAGCCTAGCCAACTGGAGCATTTTCAAGCTAAATGTCACAAATCCAGATTTACAGGCAAAAGGGACTTATCTGTGTGTGAGATGCTGTAAATCAGTTAAAACACGACTGTCGAAATCCTATATTTTTCTTGCATTTTATTATTTTTTTCCTGATGTCCACTTTAAGACATTTGACATAAGGACTCGCGCACCAAAAACATTTGATTATTCATTTTTACACTGACCACTTTCCAACCTCTTTTTATCCCTTAGATTAAACAGGCTGTTTTTGTTACTGGGCCTTAAAGATTAATATATATATACAGTTGTAAGTAAATGACCTTTGTTCTAATTGGCTGCCCTGTGTTGTGCCTCATTCAAAAAGCCATCCAGGCTGAAATACTCCTTATAACTTTAGTATGAATGGGTCGAGATAAACTGCTGTAGGCTTAATAAGCAGATATTTGTAAATGATTTGTTTTTGACATCACAAAAATAATGAATTAAAATGGGTTGTTGCAGCTTAGTTTCCATAAATGTTACATTCTGAAACTTTACCAATGTTTATGTGCTACATTAAACTTTATTCAAACTTTATTCTAAAAAAATGAGAAAAATGTAGTTTTCCCATATAGGCACTTTAAAGTATTTATTTTTTGGCCTTGTTATGCATGTTATGAGTGTCAAAGTTTCAACAAAGAGAGAAGAAGTAAGTTGTTAAGATGTTGCATCACTGACTTGAGAAGGATTGGTCTGGAGGGTAACGCTCTTGTCACATGAACAGGATGTGTGGTGCTGAGCACTTGTGAAAGGCGATTAGCTGAAACATTCTTACTGAAAGCTAATTATCCAGGACATGATGATGACAAGACCTTGGACTGAGGGTGTTTTAAGGTGTGTCCCAGGTTACTGTTTATGTGGTCCATCATTCACTGCTTAAAAGTTGAGAAGACTTTTTTTCAGAATTACAATATTACAACATCTGCATCATACAGTTTACAACAGGACCTGTGTAATCTATTTGAAATCCATCCAAGATCACCACCACTTCCTCAAAAGTAAATGGGCTGAGAAGTAAAGAGGATGTTCCATTGTTCCAATGTTTATCTCTAGAAAGTGTCAAATGAATACAGAATACAGCCATTAACTCATTCCCCTCTGTCCTGCTGTGTACTACTCACTGTGTTGCCTGGCTGGCGGGAGCACACAAGAGTGAACTTGCTGTGGTTTTTCTTGGTGCGACTCTTGGCCTTGCGAAGCTCCTCAGACCTCTCGTATTCTGTAAGGTCCACCACCTCGTGGATTTTCTTCTCATCCTTCACCTGAAGCAAACACAAGACATTTAAACATTCCTGTAACTGCTGTTTGAATGATTCATGGTGCTCTGCTGCATTAAACTAGAAGAGAAGTTGAGGGGTAGAGATGGGCTGGTCTGTGTTTTTGGCCAAGATGACCAAAATATCCATTTTGTCAGGCTTGAACGCTGAACATACATTGCCAGACTGACAGCTAGTAGTCTTTGTGTTGTCATGTACACAGCACATCGGTGTTTGGTTGCTTCTGCTTGGTCTCACTGATCTACATATGATGATAAATTTCCACAATTTCAACTTGTTCAGACAACATTGTTGATAACGTAGGCTAAACCCTCTGGGTCACGGGGGGGAGCTGGAGCCTATCCCAGCCGTCACTGGGCGGAAGGCATGCTAAACCCTGCATTTGAAAAATTTGCACACTTTCAAATTGTGATTTCGGTATAAAAACGATCAAACTATCAGCTCTACTTCCTTGTTACTGTTTTTGTCCATAACAATATAAAATATGTTTTTGTTAGGATATTCTCATAATGTTCATTCTGTTCAGTTTATTCATGGTACAGCTTTGTTTTTGTGGCATGGTCTCATCTCTGTTTGGTTTGATGGGTCTATAAGGGGCTATTAAGTGTCTACAGACCTAATTTCATGCAGCAGTTAGGTCTGCGGGCCAGGGTAATTATAGCATTGCACGGACAGTGGCTAGTACAGCCTTGATTGCACAGCGGAGTGGCCATAATGTGAAGCACTTGGCCTTCTGTGTGGCAGCTTTGGACCCTGGCAACAGTCAAAGCACACATGACACTACTGAGACATATCCAACCTGCCAAAAGGCGGTCTAAGGACAAAGCTGTACCTGCAATATTTATACTGCCTGCAGCTCACTACCCTCTGCTGAGGCCGTTAAGAGAGGGATGATTAGCGGTCAGCTTATACAGACAGAGACACTCATGCCAGTTAGTCAGAAATTGGAATTGGACATATCCAGAAATTACCATCAGTACCACAGCTTAAACAAACAGATATTAAGTCATTAAGCATTGTGTGCTTTGTTTTAGATGAATCATTTAACATGAAAGCACTACAGATTTTGTAGCTTTGCAGTTGGGATTGTAAGAATCAGCTTTTTTGTTGCTACACAAACAAATGGTGCCTTAAATTTACATGATTCAGATACAATATGTTCTATCAGTGTCTTCCTATTTACTTTTGGCAAGAATTGTTGATTGTGTTGATGTAGCAAGAGGTGGCACCTATACAGACACTCAAAATGAGTGAGACCTATGCTATTTTTTTCTTTAAAAATCAAAACAGAACTTTAATTTAAGCACTTCGCTTAGGACTGCCACCTAAAAGTATGTTGAGTAGTCTAGAATTTGGATTAGGATAAATTAGGATTTTTCATATTCTGTGTAGACTTTCTGTAAAGCTACATGCTAGCGCACACCAAATGCTCTCTGACATGGGGCAGTCGATAGTACAAAGCGTATCTCTCGCACAAAACAATCACACCACCTTGGGCCCCACAACATTAAATGTCCATTTTACCATCTTGGCTGTAAATATGTCTCAGTATGTGCTAATGTCCTAGCACAGGCTAAAAATATAAACAAAAATCCAGACTTACTTTGCTCTGCTTTAAGCTTTAGCTCAGCTATAGCCACTTTTCTCACATCTCCAGCAGGATAATTGTCCTCAAAAGTAGAATAGCTTCTTGTAAAATTTCTCTCGATTATTTTTTTACGAGGCTGAAGTCAGCTTCTCATTCACCAGCTTCTTGTTTGAATTTTCCTGTTCCACCTTGAATGTTGCCTGAGACGCCAGAATGTAACTGCTGCACCATTTAAGGTGGAACGGGAAAATTCGAACAAGAAGCTGACTTCAGCTTCGTGACTTTTTAGTGTTTGACACTAAAAAGTCTTGAACTTACTGAAAATGGTTAAAATGCTTATCCATACTAGCTCCTCGCTGTTCTTACATTAACATTAGGCTATGTGGCTTATGTGGCTATGTGACCTATGTGGTTATCACATGACACTATCATGTTGTTATTACTTGATCTACTTTGCTTTACATTTTTGTGGTGCTGCAAGCAATTCTGTGATATTTCAGGCTAGATCTGTTGCAGAATCAGATCAGATATCTGATCCAGCACTGTCTGCTGATATCAGCCAGATACCGTTACCAGGTATCAGACTGATGCCATTTCTATTCGATGCCACGTGCAACAGACTGACACATTTTAATCACGTAAATCAAAGCACTGTTTATTTTCCACTCCAGGCTACTACATTAAACCACCCTGACCATCTTTACACAATGCTGTGTGTAAATAGTCATGAACACCACTCTGGACCTGAACCTGAAAAGCAATGAAATAGCAGTTCTGAGTGAAAAATGTCAAAACCTGAACCAATCGAGTTTTGGCACAGAACGTCATAGCCTACATTAGCGTCAGATAACCCTGCAGAAAGACCTCATTAAGTTACAATCAATTTCCATTAGTGAAGTAGAGGAGTGCATGCATGGCCACATCTAGGTGAGGGGCAGAATTGGTTTTATAGTGCCACGCTCAGTGTTTTGGCAGACTGCATTATTGGTGTCAAAGAAGGGACAGACTGCACAGACAATACAACTACTGTTCCAACAGCACAAATTAACTGGCAACCCTGTGCCAGTAGGGATACAACGTGTTTATAGTCGTTGCTGTCAGCAACTCATATATTTGTATATTTGCCATTCTGTTTGCTTTATGCTTAATCACACTCATCGCTGTGAACTTAGTGGCCTCTTAAACCTCGACTAATGCAGTAAAATCCATCCACACTGGCACACGCTCAATAAATGTCTCACTGGCAGAGTGCTTGCATATCTGTCCCCCATCTTTCATATGTGTACTGGACCAATTCATTTCATGTTTTAAATTAGTTCATATTTATTTAGTATATAATCCACACAGCTGAATAAATAGACCAAGGCAGAACAGTATCTTTTTAGCCAGCGGCTATCCTCAGTGGCTGGGTGGGGAGTATAAGAATGGGACAATGTTTGCTTGTTTCCCTTTAGAATATATTGAGAAACCTACAGACCTGTTTTAAAGAGGTTTTTGCTGTCCTCAGAAAGCCTCTTTTCAGTGCCTAGTGCCTTTCGTCTGTTATTATCAATATCACCTGAGCACAAGGTTGCTTCTTCAATTGAACTGGATCATACATATGCTCTTTAATAAATGATCAAATATTAAAGCCATTACAGTGAACTTGTCTAGAATAGGTTGCTATTTGCTACTGTGAATGCTGTGCATTCAGCTTTAAGAGGAAACAATGTGGTTTTCAGGAGGTGTGGAGTGTCATAAATAGAATATAAAATAACCTCAAAATGAAACTAAACCATGCAGTACATCCTTTCACAGACCACAATACAGTTGTATGAAAAAGTTTGGGAGCCCCTGGTCAAATGGCATGTTTGGTTAAATTTCTAAGTAGAAATAAGTCAACACATCCTCTACAGAGGACACACTTAAATATGGCACTCTGCTGCCAATTTTAGTGCACTATTTATATTTATTTGCAGAGTTTAACATATTGGGTGGAAAAAAAACATAAAACATAAAATGTGCCATAACTTGCACAGGCCACATTTAATGGTTTATGCTTTCTCAATATGTCAAATTCAGCAAATAAACTGTAATTGTGTATTAAAATGTGCAGAAGTGTGTTCTCTGTAGAGGATGCATACTTATGCTCACTTGGCCAGGGGTGCCAAAACTTTTGCAAATATATATACACAAAAGGACGTTTAATTACTTTGGAAATATTTATTCAGTTCACCCTCAAACACTTCTAATCACACAGTGTTTCTTTTGAGGAGCAAATGTCTATTAATAAACTTCCCTTTCTGTAACAGGATATGATGAGTGGACTGCGTAGAGATGCTTTTGCACTACTGCTTCATACTTCAGGCCAGTCTGTTTGGAATCTGTTAGGCCATGCCATGTTATGTTTGCTTCCTCTATTAGATTGTTTGACCCTGCAATGATATTAGATATACAGAGCATCCCGTGCAGGGAAATGACATCTGTGAAGCTATGTGAGCAACCTGAAGAGGAGTGAAAAATAAACACGTCCAGGAAAGTGGCTCACGCATTAAACAATTATAGCATGTTGTTTGAGCAGAAACATGTGAATGAGAGATCTAAGAGGCTGACGACACACTGCTGCAGCTGCACAACAGCCCAGCACAACAGACTGGCATGTGTTTGCTCAGACTCTAAGCACATGGGCTAAAGGAGCAGGATTACTGCAGTTTGTGACATCAAAATGGAAACGATCCTACACTCTTAAAAATAAAGGTGCCAAGAAGGTTCTGTGCCCTTCCTATGAAGAACCTTTTTTGGTTCCCTGAAGAACCTGTCATTTTTGTAAAAGCAATGTGGGAGAGTGAAGAACCCTTTTAAAGTTTAAAGAACCTCCACACAATATAATGCTTCAAATCTATACCAAATACAGGATCCATATCATTTTCCAACCTCTCTTTATCCCCTAGAATTAAACAGGCTGTGTTTGAAAAAGAAATGTAAAATAAATAAACAAATAAATAAATACATGTAAATTAGCTCTGTTCTGATTGGCTGCCCTGTATTGTGCCTCATTCAAAAAGCAGTCCAGGCTGAAACACAGCCTAAGTCAAAAATCTTTTAGGAACTTTTAATAGTGTACACAGGTTTAATACTGATGCAAAAATAAGAGCAAACATAAAGCTCAGAAACTGCCTCCTCATACACTGTGCAGTAAAATCCTCCAGAGTGCAGCTGAGGTAACTGCAGGCAGGGTGGGTTCAAATTAACTTTGAATGAGTTAGCGCTGTCTTTGTGCCATGAATGAGTTCAAGATCTGGCTGAAGAGCTGAAAGGGGAATTCTACTGATTTTTAAAAAGCATTCTGCTTAAATTTGAAGCGATAGGAACCAGGGGTCACAATGTCTACAATGCAAATGACATTTCATTTACTATC